ATCTATATCTATATATTTATATATAAATATATTATTATAAATATATATAAAAAAAACAAGGAAAAGAAAAAAAACCTATATTGATAAAAATTAATTAAGATTCGGGGCTGTTTCTGGTTAAACAAAAAAGATCTTGCTCTTTAACGAGAAGGTTTATCTCTGTAGGGATCCTTTCCATAAGTTGTCAGACACTTAGAATAATAATCTCAGGGTTTACCCCATGTTTATTTATTTGTGGCGGCATGACAGGATTAAAACATTTGCCACCACGTTGTGATTTTATATTTTTGAAGCTGGACCATTCATTAGGAGCACTATTGAAATATATAGATAGAGCTGCAGAACACCAGGCGCAGTGAAAGCAACACTTAATCATTCAAACTACTCAGTGGCATACATAAACTGACGATGCAAACATTTCCTAAGTGGTTACATTGCAGTCCGTTTCACAGCTGCCGGCCGGCTTAGACACCAATACGCTGGAAAACAGGGTCCCGGTTGAAATATATTGAACTTAACCCTTTAAGCATGAACATACTGTTAGTGTATGCTTTGTTGTGCTTGGGGCTGGTGTTATGTTGGTGCTAACCTGTGCTCGTGTAACGGTCCGTGGTTGGAGTGGAGCAGACGTCTCCCTGAGCGGATGAAGGATTCATGTGCGATGTCTGGATGATGAGGGCCTTCTGATGATCCGACAGCGCTTGGATGTTGCCCCACACTCGTAGCCACCCAGACCCACAAGAAAAATTGGCTCCTTGAGCATGAACAGACAAACAAATGTTTCATCATCTACTACACATGACAGTGTCAGGATGTGCGTTAGTTTGGTAGATACATCTATTCTGTAAACAGAAAGCAGGAGATGGGAGAATAATTCTGACAAGAACAATATGTGGCAATTACTTAGAGCCACACCTGAGTCTGTCTGTCTCTACATTCTGCCCTGAGAGAATTAACTCAGAGAGCTGAAAGTGGTTGTTAGAGCAGTGCTCCTGAGAGCTGCTTATCTCCTGTGAGTTGCTGCATTATTAAACTGGTGAAGCACGGCTTTACAGTATTACACCCTCAGAACTTAAACCTGGTCTCCACAACAGTGTCTTACTGCAACGTAATAAAAGTTCTTATCCCTACTTTGCAACTCCATGGCAACAGAAACATCCATCACTCTGTAGATTGCCAAGTTCTCCGCCAGAGCCACTGAGTGCCAGCGGTGTGTAATCTTTTCTTTTTCACTAAAATACTTTGAACAAATGCACAGTTTTTGAAGTCTAAGGAAGACGCCAATAATTGCTCGCTTTAAAAATGAGCCAAATGTGACGCTTTCAATTAATACTGACTATAAAGGCCTCACCTTGGAGATACAAGGCAGAGATGCCACAGTGACACCTCTGCTCCAGGTAGTTGGCCACCTCAGCAACCCTCTTCCCCTGGATTAGACCACTGCAGTCTGAAGGAGAAAAGAGAAGACCAGCTTGTATGAAGACAGACAGAAAGACAGAAAAAGTACTCTTACATTTTGAAAACAACTCGGATTTTTTGAGAGAAATGACCAAAAAGTTCTGTTTCACATTCAGGTTGCTGTATTTTTTTCCCTTTAAGACACATTTTTGGCATTTTCACTATTATTAGACAGCTGCCAGTGAAGCTACAGACAGGAAACATAGGGAGAAAGAGACAGGGTCATGAAATGATTCCCAGCTAGGATTGGGTATTGATAAGCTACGACGTTAACGGCTCTACTATCTGTAATTCCTAAGATATATTTCTTGTTCATTTAGGTTACATAAATGTTATCTTGTACAGTTTTTCTCACATCAACTCCCTGTCTAATTAGCAGTAACATTAAGACATTCGACACTGATGCATTGCTGCTTTTCAATCCAGAAGAGAGCTCTCTGTGTCAGAGCCTCACAGCCTGCTGAGTACGTTAAGGGTGGGGTTGGGCTGAGCTTTATGATCTGTGCAACACGACATCCTCTATCCCTACACCATGTTTTATTCACTTTCACAGTTTAGTGTTGTTAAGTTATGAGGCCTCACCTCCTGATTGCTCCTGCCAGTCACTGGACAGGGGTCCCAGGCAGAGGTCGATGTGACTTGAGAAGGCAGAGCTCGGGCAGAGGTTGGAGCTGTGAGGTGTGGGCGAAGAGGTTGTCCAGGAGGAGGGGCTCCTCACTTCGCAGCATGAACACCGGCTGAGCGAAACGGGACCATCTTCCACTGACCTGTGCACGCATACAAATTTGAATACAAACAAATACGTACAGTATTGATGCTAAAGCGTTGGGTGAGAGGCGGGGTACACCCTGCACAGGTCGTCAGACTATCACAGGGCTGACACATAAAGACAGACAACCATTCACGCTCACATTCACACCTACGGACAATTTAGAGTCAGACTCAGTTAACTTGGATCCCCAAATCTACCTCCTGGCTGTGAAAGACAAAGGCTGTTTTTATTAGCCAATCACAGGAGAACCAACAGATTAAAAGCAGTGATCAATGTCTGATGAGTTCAGTTTAACCCAAATGTGTGTAGCCTATAATATTCTGGCAGCAAGTTCTCAATGTGTGGGTTTATACCTGCGTATTGCTTCTGTTTTAAAGTTTGTCACCCTACTGACTTTGTAACTCGACTGTGACAGAGCCTCCTCACCTTCCCCCGAGCTGCAGGGACAGAATACGAGTGCTGCTGTAAATAGATTATGCCGAGCAAATCAGTCAGAAATCCAGAGCTTTCCCCAGGAATAGGTTAGACGAGGAGAGAGGTGTTGCCCCCCTCCTGACCAACTGACTGATTGAGCTGTTTACCACCAACATTTTCCTCCATCCATTAATATGAAAGGTGTAAGCCTTATCAGTCACTGAGTCTGACAGACATTCTACCTCCATAAATAACGTGGCATTTTGCTTTGTTTATTACAGTTATAGAAAAAAAGGAAAAATAATTCTCTGAAGTCCGCTAAGGCTACCATGTCCAGTTGGGTTCTATTTCCAGTGTAGCAGCTCCGGCAAATTAAAAAGTATCCTTCATCAGCAACCTGTGCCGACAGCGTCATGATGCTAAATCAAGCTTGTATTGCATGCGAAATAAGCATTATGACAACATTATTAACATGCTATTATGTTTGTTTATAAATGGGTTTACAGAGCCACTAGTGTTGAGACGAGAGGGCTCTCTCAAAAACCTTTTATACAGCCTGTTCAAAGTGGGAATTCTGTGCTGTTATTCTGCCGTTCACTATTAGGTACAAACAGGCCCTTTGCTGCATGTCATCTTCCCTCTTTCTCCCTCTTTTACGCTATATCTGTCCTTTAACTTAATGACAAAAAGCCCCAAAAATATCTGTAAAAAAAAAAAAAAAGGCTTCTTTTAATAGAATATTGACTAGTTTGTAGGAGGGCTGTTCTGATTTATTTTATATTATATCTTAACCTGCCCTGGTCAGCAGTGCAGCATTAGTTACCATGGTAATCTTCCCTGTTTAAAAAAGAACTTGCCATGATCAAAAGACCTGAGCCAATTATACTAATTAGATGAAAGCCTATGCATGACATTTTAGCAGTCTGATTTAACCCATAATTGGTTTTGTGACTTATCATTAGTGTAAAAGTTCAAACATGTAGAAGTTCTCTGTGACTCACGCTGTTGGGTTTGTTCTGTGTTTTACCTGGCAGCTGGGATCACTTGTCTCCCTCTGGTGGTGGACAGAGAAGAGAGCAGCTGCTGCTTTTCACTGAACACAAGAACATCTCTGAGACTGGAATTTGTCAGAGCAGTGCCAGCTCGACACACGCTGAACAGGTCGTAGCACAGGACTACTGCTCCTCGTACCGGCACCGCGGAGCCCTCTGGGAAAGTCTGATCTATGCAGGAGAGAGGGGAGGTGAAGGAGCACGGTGAGAGATGGTGGGAAAAGAAGAAGAGGGAAAAGGACACAGAAAGAGAGAGAGAGAGAGTGGAGGAGACGGTTATTAAGAATGAGAAAGGAAATATCTTCCTTCACTTCCAAAAGTCGTCTATCGCTGAACAACACACTCTCCTCCTGCCCTCACCTGCTCCAGTGACATTCCCAACAATGTAAAATCCGTCCTGGTCGATGGATCCGGTCAAAGGAAGAGCGATGACGGTCCCACTGCGCTCCTGGTCAAACACGGAGAGCACCAGGCCCCGCAGATCTGTCATGGGGGGGCCGTGCAGCTCCACAAAGCCCCTCTGCTGGCTGTGATTGGTCCAATGGCCGCTAGCCACCTCACTGATGACCACACCTTCAGGGGCTGGAGGGGGACGGGGGCAGCTGTTCTCCCTCAGGGGTGTGGGTGGAGCCACCTGCAGTTATTGATGCATTTTGAGCATTTATGATTTTAACAGCTTTGAAAGTGACTGTGATGAATCCAATACAGATATACCTGCATCAATTGCAATATTCGTGCAGTAAGAGAAAACACATTTTGTTCAGCTTCTGCTCAGAAACTGTCATTTGTATTTTTTTCTTTAGGAAGTATGAAGGAGTGTGTCTTGGCCTTTAATTGTAGCATGCTCAATGAAACTGTCACCCTTTACACTTACTGAGAAAGCAGACAGGTCGTAGGGGTAAAGGCCTCTACAGCGGCTGAGCGCCTCATCACCAGGCAACACCTCAGGGTCCTCCAGCAGAGGCAGCTGACCCGGGGTCAGAGCTTTACTCAGCTCCTGCGCCTCTTTATCCGATCCTCTCTGCCGGTACACGACTGCATCCAGCAGGCCCTTGGTGGGGATCCCCCTCTGTGCGGCTGACGGCGGGCCAAAAGGGCTGCGATAGAGTGCCACAGCATCTGGTCCATTCTGGATGGTGTTGGGGGGCAGGCGGAGTGACGGAGCTGGCACCAACCTGTCACTGCCCAGCAGAAAGTAGCCCTTAGAAGTGGTGAAGTGTCCACTTAGGCTGATCTCTCTGTAGGGTCTGTTGTTGTGTGCACTGAACAGGAGTATCCAGATGCCCTGCAGGGAGACCCGGCGTCCTGATGGGTGCCACAGCTCGATGTACTCGCCGTCCTCAGCTGCGCCAGGTGTGTCAGTGTTCAGCTCATTGATCAGGAAGTCGCTGTTCCCCCAAGGTGGGAGGTGAGGCGGTGAATCTGTTCCTCCTGGAACCACTAAAGCATAAAGGAAGGAGCTGTTAAAAGAATAGCTTGACTTCACCCTTCACTTCATGTTTAGTACAGTAACACAATGCATATTGGAGGGCAACAGATGGCAGTGTTACACAATGATGGGGCATAAAACTGATTTCTCAAAGTTAACTTTTTCATAACTGTTTGCTAGGGTTAGGGTTAGGTAACCCTACCAACAAGTGTACTCAGTTCACGGTAAGATTGGAATTGTATCACTGATTTTGAGAACCACATTGCTTATATAATAATGAAACAATAAAAGGCAACACATGCAGCAGCAACAGAAAGCAAGAACAATGAACTTAAGTGACATTATGAGACAGATTTGGTCGACATAGCTAAAAGGTTAAAGGAATAGCTGACACTTTAGAAAAACACAGTTTTTGCCAGAAGTCCGATGAGAAGAGTCACACCACTTTCATGTCCAAGTGCTAAATATGACACTACAGGCAGCAGACATGAGGGTGCTGTGATCTTCTCATCAAAAGGCCTTTACACTTTTGAGATGTGATGAATAAATGACACAGAAATGTGAAATAGTCGCCCGTGAATATTTAGCATCAAAATTATTCATACTTGTAGCAATGCAAACTTGTAACAATTGCAACACTTGTTCAATAAAGGTTGAATACGATTCACGTCAGCTCATTCTTCAGAAAAAATAATGACAGTTTGAGATACTTCTGGGGATGTTTGCACCACAGCTAACTACAGGAATCCCTTCAACCCCGAACAGCGCCTGGCAGCCATTTAGAAGTATGTTTTTGTAGGCTACTATAAGCTTCTTTTTTTTAAATCCAATTTACTTTTAGTGAAAAGCTCTAAAGAAATTTGAGTTTTCTCCAGTCAACAGGTATGCAGTGTATGAGTCTAGAGCTTTTATTGTGAAAGGTAAGAACGAAAGAGTGGATCTGGTATGTGCCGCTTTTGTCAAGGCTGTGGCAAGGATTTTTGAAATCTTTAATCTGACTCTTTCCCCTTGACTGCTGTAACACTGGAATTTCTCAATTATGGGATCAATAAAGGTGTATCTTATCTTATCTTATCTTATCTTATCTTATTTTATCTTATCTTAAAGTTTCCTATCTTAACTCGGACTACGAAGCCTCTGTGTTTTTGTTTACCCTTACAATGAGACTAGTTTATGCCCTTGTTTGTGGTGCAAATAAAATCAATTTCATTCTGAAAAAAAAAAGTAATTTTTCCCTGCACGTTTTCTGTGAAAGTGCTCATGACAAAAACAGTTGGAAAAATATATTGACGTGCGAATTAATCGTGGAAATAAAATAAAAAGCCCCTGCTGTGTAAAGGCCTAAACTCTCAGCAAGAAGCCTCATCAAACTATAAGGCTATGTTCACATTACAAACACATGTGGCCCAAATACCTTTTTTTGATCTCATGTGACACAGATCTGATTTTTTCAGAGTAGTGTGGACACAGTGTGGAAATTTGACTTTTTCCCAATCAGGTCTGGGCCACTTTCATATGTCGTCCTAATTCTGATACATATCCAGTCAATGACCATGTGACCACTGTATGAACGGTTAAACCAGAATTCATGTGTGTTTTTTTAGGGGTTGGAATCACCAGGGGCCCCATGATACATTAGTGCTATATGGTGAATTTTGGGATAAAATAGATTGCAATATATTGCGATTTATTACCTTTTTCAACTGCTAATTGAATCCCTAAAGGAAAACTTCCAATATCTGTAAGAAAAAGTTTTAAGTCTGTTCATCTTACTTCAGTTTTTTTTTAGGCAGCAAAATATATCTAGTAGACTGAAAAAGCAATTGATTATATTATTCTAGGAGGCTACAAAAAGTTTAATTTGTACATGTAATTTTTATGATTAATATAAATAAAAAATAGATACTTGGAACTGTGTAATGAAACATTATTGCCACACAATAAATATGCTATACTATGCTGTATCTACCCCCCTACATCCACTGTTTTTGCACGTCATACTTCATTGTGCAGATGCAGATCAGTGTCAAAGCAGTCTGTTAAAATTACAGAAGGCTGTCGTAGCTGTACCGCTAGTGTGGTAGGCCACCGAAGTCAGCAGCCCAGAGAGTTTCTCACGCCTCACACCACAGAACTACCAGTAAAAGCTGCTAATAGAGCCATAGCTGTGGCTTTTGCATTCCTTTGTCTTCTCACCATCATCCTCAACATATGACGAATTGTCATCCGACCTCATCATCCAAGAGAGGAACGCCTTTACTGCTATGTCATTCATTTTTTCCCCAAATGCATGTTTCGCAACCGTGACGTTTTTTGCTTTTCTTCCATCACACATGTATGTGACGTTTTCACACTGACGTCAGATAGGCCACAGGTCACTTCAAACATGAGCGTGAACAGTCTAGGCGGAAAGATCCTTTCTGGGGAGAAAAAAATCGAAATAGAGCATTAAGCCCTGTAATGTGAACGTAGCCTATGATGGGACAGTCAAACTGAAAATGGACAACCTAGACAAGACATAACTCTCCTGATGGTTGATTACAGAATATCAGTTGTGATAATATTGTACTCGTTAATGGAACTGATAGGGTCTGTAAACATGCTGACAATGCTACAACAAAGTCCAGCAGACCTTTGTGTTAGTTCACATCAGCTGATGGGTATCATAAGCTCATTGATGATGTCTGCTGGGGAGGGCTCTTTTGATTTCTGACTTTCTTGACGTGTCTCTGAATGAAGTACTGTTTGTCAAAGTTGAACCAGCAGTCTTTTGTTTTCCCTCACATATAAGTTTGTCTAACCTGGAGCTCTTACATGGGTGTAACCCAGAGCAGAGCTGACACCTCATTATTAATACTGTAATGAATAAGATCAGAATCTGTACAGATAATACAATAATCTTGAGGTTAAAAGATCTTTCCTGACTTTCGAAAAAACATCTCAGAAAACAGTCTCAACATGAGGTCTATTTAGTAGCTGTTCTGGAGCTCTCTATTATATAACATCATCTTTGTTCGGACTACATTACTTTATCTTAATATTCTTTTCTTAAACTTTTTTTGCTGCTGGACAAATGTACACTTTGTAATCTATTAAATGTGACTTATTTTTCACAGTTGAAGTCTGACAAATGTGGCTGCACTCTGTGGTATTTTATCAAACATCTAGCTACTCATCTGTCCAAGAGATAGGAGAGGATTCCACATTGTAAACCACAAGCTTTCCTCAACTCCAATTATTTGTGAAAGCACGACTGATTTCTCCAACAAACAGGCCCTTATCTTTCATTTCTCTTAATGGCGCTTCCTTCCCAGAGCAGCCAACTCTCAGTTCTTTAATTTTAAGCACTTGTTCCAGTGATGTAGCTTTGTTCCCCAGTTACTCAGCTGGTGAGTGATGAAATCTATAACTTCCCCGAGGTCAGCACACTGTGCGTTTCAAAATGTGCACAAGGACGTATCTCTTTCGGAGAATTACTTCATGGTTCACCAAGACGGATAGAAAATCTATTTGAAAGTGTCCGTGCTGGCATGCCTCTACATGTAGCTCCTTATGGCAATATGACACTCGAGAATGAGCTTTGCTGGCATTATGGCAGCAGAACTGAGGCACTTGCACCTGAATAAAAAATATAAATTACACCCTCTTGTGTAATATTGGTTAAACTGACATAAGTCTCTCCATGCAGATGACTCATCTTAAACTTTCTTCTGGCTAAACATCATCTCATCCTCGCTCGGTGTTAATTATTGACACTTTCTTCCTCTGCATACTTAACTCATGGCCACATCAATAATGTTGAAATCAGGTGGGAGTTAATACTGCCTGTCAATCACACGTGTGTTATCTATTTCTTTACTTACTTCATGTAAACTGCAGGGAGAAGCAAAAGCTGTGAGCTAAATCTTTTGTTTCTGAAGAGTTGACTGAATCTCATAAGCTGTAGCAAACAACATACAGATCTTACATTAAGCATCAAATTCAAACACTCACCAAGACTGTGCGGGCAGATCTTTGGCCAGGGGCACTGGTTGGGCTGTGCCGGAGTTTGTGGGGCCTCCCAGAAGACACCGGGATCTCTCGCCCAGGTGGCCACACCACAGCGACTCAGGTAGAAGCCTCCCTCTCTCAAACTGATGAAATAATAACATCATTAAGAAACAAGCCCTTGGAGTCGACTCTTATTTTGAAGGGTTATAATATTACAATTGGCTTGCATTGTCAGACACATTTATATTTTGCAGTGAATAAGCAACAGCACATCATAATGCTACTCAATAATACAGCCTCGAAATTCAAATAGTAATTTTAATGCTAAATTCCTTATAGTCTTTAGCTAGTGTGGCCTCAGGGATGGCAGTGACAGTCTGTCTGTTAGTTGGTGCATCACATTGGTTTAAACTGAAATATCTCACCAACTACTGGATAAAGTGCTGTGAAATTATGGTTCTTAAAGGATGAATCCTACTGACTTCACTGCTACTTTGAGCTGTCTTCTAGTGGTCTTCTAGTTTGGGAGCAGGGCCGCGCCTAAACCACAACTCTAATTGCCTGCCAAGCCTACTTATATCTGGTCAACCCATCCTGCTCTGTTTGTCTCAGATTTCTCGACCCACCCTCCCTTTACCTTGTCTCATTCTATGAACCATCTGGGGGGCCTGTAATCAGCTTGGGTGGAAAACCACCTGAGACGGAACCCCCAAAGTGAGTCTCCCTCTGCCTGATCTCCAGTACATCCTCCCATGTCAATCTAACAGAAGACAACCCTCTGCCACCTTCATCAAGTCAAAATTTTAATCTGTCCAATATTTTGGTTTATGACTTAATGCCTGCAGCCTCAGCTGTGCTTAGTGTTGACTACTAATACACAAATATTAGCATGCTAACACACTAACTAAGATAGTAATCATGGTAAATATTAATCCTACTTATGTTTTGCTCAAGGCACTATTGCGCACAGCCTCACAGAGCTGTAAACCTTAAGTCTTGTTGTTGCAGTGTTAATTTCACTGACAAAAACTATGACAAAAAATGTTCCTCAGCTATCTGTTTTCCATGACTAAGACAAGATGCTGACGGGCTAAAAATAGATCTTTGATAATAAAAACTACGACAAAATGTATGTTTTTTTTCACTGACGAGACTTAAAATGTTAGTGGTGGGCTATTGGACCTTCAAAATGGTTGATATTTTACTCCAACTGTGCATCTAGTCTGTCTATCAAAATATAAGTAATGTTAGTGGTTGAACTGGTTGACAGATATGTGCAGATTCCCAGAATGCCAGTCAGACAGGTGATGACGTCCCAAACTGACAGCAACTTAAAGCAGCTGTGCAGAATTTTTTACCATTTATAAAACTGTCCCTAGTTCGTATCACCCCCCCTTGAAGATCCACATATTTATTTGAACCCAACAGCGACAAAAAAAGCCTTTCTCTATATGGTTATTTAGCGTAGCCCGCAGCGGCCTGCAGCATTTAAACCACAGAAGAAGAAGGAGCCGTGTTTACGAGTAGCATTTAAGAAACAGGCTAAATGACATGTAGTAGGGAGTAGTCAATGATTTCGGACACATTGCACAATCTTGTACAGTAGGTGGTGGTATGCACCTGGAAGTTGTTTGCGATCTGCCAATAAATTGAGAGAAGAAGAAGAGCCGTGTTTACAGAGAGTGTTCTTCGAGTAAGCGGTACGCAACGGGCATTGCTGAACACATAACAGTTTTACCAGATGTGTCTATAAGGACTTGGTTGTACTTTCGATGTCATGGCGAATAAAGAAGGAGCACCATCTAAAAGAAAAAGAACAGAAGAACAGAAGAAGGCTAAACGGGACAGTGATAGGGCTTGAGCTCAAACGCGTGTAAACCTCGGTCGGGCATTCACCAAGTAGAGAGAGCTGAGAGATTTGAAAGGTTTTAAAACTGATCCCGAGTTGGCCCTTTTCCTAATCAACAGGTATGTCATTTTTGTTTTTATTTAGAGAATATACCGCAACTTGTTAGATGTTGTTTCACTTCAATATATGACGACATGGAAGTTATAAGCAAGCTAAATGTAATGTTAGCTGATGTGAACCGCTTTTGTCTAGTAACGTTACAACAAACGTCACAAAATGATCTGTGACTGTGCCCATGAACACAAATATAGAGCAGGCAGTTGTCCTCAGTTTATAAGAAATTCAGAGCTACACCAGAACATTTATGATTTTCCTCTCGCTCTCCAAAACAAATGCATGCGGTAATTGCCGGTTGCAGTCCAGATTTTACGAATGAAGCCGAAGGCTGCAGTTGGAATTTTACGACACCAGGCTGTGGGTGTCATACCGCTTCGACCAAAAGGGGTGCTATAATCAACGAAAATGGAAAGTTCCGCACAGCTGCTTTAATGACAATACTAACGCCAAAAGCATTTGGTTGGGGAAAAAAAATCTATGGACACATCTATTTTTATAATCGGGCAGAAACAAAAACACAATGCACTGTAGAAACGGGAGACAGCGAGATGCCCTGTGGCTGCAAATTAGGAGGGAACAATATGACCAACCTGAACTACAGTAAGGAATCCAGATAATACACAAGTAGAGATGTTAAGAGTGAAATGTGGCTTTACAAATTTCACCTGCACTAGCTTAACTGAATTAGTTTAAAGAGAGAAATCATTTTGACTAAGAGTTAACTAAAATGTGATGACTTTTCATTGACTAAAAATGGACTAAAATGTGACTAAAACCAATAAGCTTTTATGCCTTAAGACTAAGACTAATTTTAAAATGGCTGCCAAAATTAACAATGGAGTGTCATTATGCAAAAATCTATTTAAGTGTCTTTGAGTCAGTGTTAGTGAGAGTCTACATGTGACTACCGCTCCAAAGTGATGACGCACGCTAAACAGGGAAAAAATACATCAGCAAAGAGGAACAGTGGTCACAAGCTGACCCTCTCCTTAGTGAAATGCACTTCAACAGAATGAGTTTTCCAACACTTGAAACTCTGACCTAAAAAAACCCACTGACTGTTACTAACACATCTGACAATCACACCAAAAATACATCATGAGCTTCCTCAAACTTGCATCGATGACTTCCACTCCTTGCATGTACCGCAGTCAAATTATGTCTACCATACACTACAAAACTCTGAATAAAAAACAATTGAAAATACTTCAAAACGACTACAACTAGCTTCCTTTTTGAGATTATTCCCATCCTGCTCCTAGTGGAAAACACTACACCAAACTCCCTTTGACAAACATGTCATATTAACAATTCCTTTCAATCCCACAAAAGCATATAATCCTAGAAACTCCAAATTAAAGGCATCATATGTCGACAGTATCCTTGTCAATTCGGCATCGATATAATCCATTAAGATAAACTGTATTCGCCTACAGACTCCACATTTTGGATTTTGTCGCCTCAACTCACTGCCAACTTCCACTGGTCAACTGCACTATTTCAGTGGGAGGAGAACGTGGGAATGAGAGGTGAACTGTTTCAAAAATTAAGATTTCTCACTAAAATAGGTGCTGGCTGGTGGATTAAACACAGACTCTACCAGTTTTTCCTCCATTTCCACAGAACAAGAAAACCATGACTTGTTCACACTCTTGCGTCTCTCCGGAGTCCCCTCCGTGTTTACCGTCTACCTGGTTTGCTGCTTATGATGACATTAAACATGTTTGATTTTGTCAGAATGTCAATACCGAACGATTGGGATCATGGGAGAATGGGAGTGCGCAACAACTGAGGTAAAACTCATGACGATATAAAACTCATAAAACTCAAGTTGGTTGGTGTAATGCAGGCATTAGGGTGGCTTTATGTAGGTGTCTTGCCTGTTACTGAGTTGGTAGGGCTCTCTGCCAGGGATGAGAGTTTCTGTGAGGTTGGCACTAGGCTTGTTTCCAGGTCCAGCGAACACAAATGCATCGAGAGGCTGTATCTGGCTCAGCGGACTGCCCACGGGGAAGTCTGAGGCTCTGCCACTGTAAATAGCCACCGCCCCAGACTCATCTCCTGAGAAGTCATAACAGGAACATAGTTACACAGAAATGAAAGTGAGCGGATGAATGAAACATTTCCACAATGAATCAAAGCTCTACTTAGCTTTCACGTGTGAAACCTGATGAACTGAAGACAATAGTGATTGTATCTAGGGCGCTAGAACAAGATCCAACCAACCCACAGCACACTGACCTTTCATAAAGCTCTTCTCTATGGTCACAGAGATCAACCCGTTCCTGGAGGTGTCCACGTTCACGTCCACACTCACGCTGACCCTGTCCGTTCTCCCGTCCAACACAACCAGCACCAGAGGACCTGCAGCTGGAGCCTCGGTGAGCTCCACAAACCCGTCCACCTGCCCTCCTCCCAGCTTCAGCTCAGTGATGACAGGAATGGTTGCCGGAGCCGCAGGCGGGGTGCAGTTATTCCTCTGACCTGGTGACGGCGAGGACACCTGAAAGCCCCAACGATCTTCTGACAGCAGGCACCTCTCAATTGACTCGTCCCCCTCCAGGGCTGTTTCATCCTCGACGAAAGCTGGTTCTCCTGGTGTCAGAGTCTCAGCGAGGAACTCCGCGCCCCCAGTGCGACGAGTCATGTACACAACAGCGTCCACAAGCCCGTGGGCTGTAACTTTCATCTTCTCACTGTAGCGGGCAGCAGATGTGTGGTAGAGGACGATGGCGTCTGGGCCGTTCTGGACTGTGTTGGGAGGCAGGAGGATGGACGGTTTGGGCAGCATGTCCACCGAGCCCACCAGGAAGAACCCTCTATCGTCTGTGCTGTGGCCTTTCAGGTCCAGCACTTTGTAGGCTATATTTCCATTCCCATTATAGAACACGAGGGTGTAGCCATCCAGTGCGGCTCGCTGTCCGCTGGTGTGATACAGCTCCACAAACTCAGTGGTGTCCAGTCTGGGGTTGTCAGCGTTGATCTCGCTGATAATGAGGCAGGGGTCACCACTGACTACCACCACCAGGCAGAGGCAGGCCACACAGGCCAAACTGACCATGTTTGCAGCGAGGGGAGCTCCTGCAGAAAGAAGTTGCATTCCTCAGTAAAAATAAGTGTTGATGCTGTCTTTATTGAACTCAAGCAATACTGGGGCTTTATTTAAAGGGCTGAAACACAATCTGAGCCACACACAAGGGCTGCCTACTGTATCAGCAGCGTGTTCACAGCACTGTAATCAAATCTTATGTTTACAACTTGCAGACCAGACTCCCATGAGGAGAAACCTCATCATATCATGAATGAGTCTTCTATGAGTCTATTTTTTGTTCTCGGTGACATTGGGAATGCACGTCTTCTGCATGACTCATGTAATGTTGCGAAACACACTGGGAGCAGATGGAAACTTTGCATGAAACGGTGAAATGCTTTTAGCTGCGAATAAACAGGATTAAGCAACAGAGAATGTCAAATAAACTGCAACAGTGGCATTTCTTTAGGAGCATGATGCAGTTTACCAATCCCATTTCATCCCTGAATCACTCCAAATCGTCACAGCTTTATGGTTAGCTGTGAAAATGTGTCTTAAAGAAGCTACATTAGTTTGCACAGACACTCTCGAGGACAAACCACGTTGGGACAAAAGAAAACAGACGTCTTAAAATGAAGCAATAGTCTATGGAGTTTGGTTGTGCCCTGAAATTATCTCCCATCTCACGACAGTTATTCCAGTCACGGTTAGGCTGCTATGCATGCATCTTTCCGTCGAAAAAAAAAAGCCCCCCCCTGTCAATCTGCTTTCTATCAGTGCCACACAGGGTCCTTAAAGGCGTCGTGACTTACTGTGTTTCCTTGCTCCGTGTCGTCCAGGTGTCGCTTGTTGCACCGTCGAAAGCTCCTCAGCTGAATGTGAAAAAGCCGACGGAAATACTGTTGGTAAAGTTAGTTTGCTGCTCTCCGCCGCTCCCTTCATTCACAAAGCAGCACTTTCTCTCTCCCCCCGGGCTGTGGGCGGTCAGACTGTGCTGAGGGGGATGATGCCTGCCAGGGGAAGCTGCCTTTTTTTTTCCACGGCTCAGTACACCATTCACACATCCACAGCTGAAGATGAAACACCAGCAAACTCGGCGAAACCAGTAGAGACGCGGGTGAAGTATAACTCCCAGTCTGTTATGGCACTATACAGCATCTATCTACACTGTAAAGCTGTGGTAATCTCTGTTTTTGTAGCAAACAAATACAGTGGCCTTGAGTTCATCCCAAGAAGCCTTGTAAAAGACCTGAAGGGGGCCCCTGACCCCACCGTGTGAAATAGGGGAGAGCGGGTTCAGTGGCGACACTTCAATAGAGTGTGCCAGGGCTGACGTCAAAACCTGGACGTTTATGCCGCATTCGTTTGGCAATCCAGGCCGGTCATTCCTTGTCGGATTTATATGACCGTATGACACGTCTGATCTGAAAGCGTTTCATTGCAACAGTCCGGAAAACATGGCGGCGCTCCGTAAGTTTATTTTTGTTTGCATGGTTGCTGAGCAACAGACTTTGCTGGTTCAAATGACTTTAGGCTACAACGGGCTTGCAGACTTTTTTCCAACACAAATCAACAGTGGAAACAGAAATGCCATTGCAAAGTACTTGTATGATTTTTACAACACAAACGCTTAATTAAGCAGCATATACGAGGACAAATTGAGGACAAATAACTTTGTTTACCATTCACAATGTGCGCAGCCATCTTCATCGTGACGTCAATTCTACCAACTCGGTCTACCTGGACCTTGCCCAAATTTGATGACAGGACCTCCGGGTAGAACGGGTGTTCTTTTGTACCTTTCCGGACCGGAAACCATATCAATCCCGGTTCCGGCTACCAATAGAATGCAGCATTAGCATCGCGCTGGTTCCTGGAAGAGAAAGTGAATGTGATTTTTGCATTGCGTTTTGGATTATGTCAGAAAATAAGCTCTGTGGCTAACACAAGTTTATGATACTTACAGGTTTTGTTCAGCTAGAGATAATCTTCACATATGAACACCTTTCATACCGCATTTGAAGCTTAAATGCGATCTCCAGAAGTAAAAAGCTAACATTAGGCTTTAACGGACTACATGACTACTCCACGGTCGCATGACTCTTGACATCACCGCCACTAAGCTTTCAACTGATTTCAGCCGCTTTATTTTAAAAACATTGTATAATGGGGAAATCGGACTGTTTAAGCTAAATAAAAAGTTGTAATGGCAGACTGCCAGCACTCTCGCCTGTACGGGGGTGATGACGTTTAATGTCCCCGACAGGGTTTGTAGTCGTATTGAGCAACTTGTTAGCAACTGCCTTTTTTACGACACGTAAAAGCTTCAAAATTCACAAGCAGGGTATTTACTGATGTGTTTTATGTCGTAGAACAAAACCTGAAACTCGCTTAAGCTTTTGTTAACCACAGACCTTATTTGAGGCATTTTACCAAAATCCCATTCAAAAAAGGTACTGACTTTTTGATGAGAGAACCGGAAGTGCTAAAAGCGCTAACGGAGTTCCGGGTTTACTGGCACACTCTATGGCAGCCCAAGTCCCGCCCATATCAGGTTGTAGCTTCTGTTCCTATTTTGACAGTTTTAGTGATATTTGACTATCTCAAAAGCTGGTTAAATATAAAAGATTACGTAGGCTTGTGTGTCAGCTCCATGCAGAGCCTACTCCATAGGGGAGCACAGGGCACAACCTAAGGCGGGGTAGTTAGTTAGTTAGTAGCAGTTTATTTCGAACATGTAAGTAGCAAATAAACAAAATAATCATACAGTAGTAGACAGACATAAAAACAGTTAACTAAAGGAAGCATAGAAAGTGAAAACAACAGTGATTTGATTTACATGTTTAAAATGGAGTGGGAGGAAATACAAACTTTTTTATTCCCACCTCTTCTCCATATATAATAGTCAATTATGTGGCTCCCCATAAGTATAAAGCTGTACAATAATGAATTCTCCCAGACCTATTCATATATGTTAAATTAATTACCAATAATATTTGTCTTACAGCCAGATATAAAATCATTACAAAAATACTTAGAAAATAAAAAATATGTATCTAAATACATAAGTTATACAAAAAATCCCATCTTTATTTCCTTATCCAATCATGACAGATATGTTTTGCTTTGTCAAATTATGTACATATATATACACACACACACACACACACACACACACATATATATACAGTACAGGCCAAAAGTTTGGACACACCTTCTCATTCAATGCGTTTTCTTTATTTTCATGACTATTTACATTGTAGATTCTCACTGAAGGCATCAAAACTATGAATGAACACATGTGGAGTTATGTACTTAACAAAAAAAGGTGAAATAACTGAAAACATGTTTTATATTCTAGTTTCTTCAAAATAGCCACCCTTTGCTCTGATTACTGCTTTGCACACTCTTGGCATTCTCTCCATGAGCTTCAAGAGGTAGTCACCTGAAATGGTTT